TAACATGTCGTGTAACTCGCAAGTCGCAGATCCTCCACTCAGAGCAAGAACTCAATGAAGTTTTGGTTCAACCCATTGGAGGGCATAATTCATGTAGCTGAATAATATGGACTCATTTGAGGTTTTTGATTAATCAACTTTCTAAGCCTTAAATCTCTCAGATTTTAATTGCTAAACACCTCAAAATTTGTAATTAACACCTTTAATCACTAAGATGTAACAGCTCATGATACTTTTTTTCTCCATATTTATTACGCTTGAAATTAATACTACCTTTTTTTTATATTAAAAAAAAAGTAAATATCTGCTGCATCCAATCCAAATGACTTCTTTTCAGGTATTCCAATGTGAGGTTTCAACTTTCTGATATTTTAATTATTAAATGCCTCAATTTTTGTAGGGGTATTACAAAGTCCAATTTAAAGACCAACATCGTTTAAGATCCAAATCACCAGTTGTTTTAATGATTCAGAAAAAACGCTCCTTGTAGTTGTAGGTAAGACATTGAGAAAGATCAGGGACGTGAATGGGTATCGGATACGACAGAAGCCTTTTCAGGACGAAATATGAAATGGACAGGTATTGCATGGGCCTATGCAGTGAGCAGACAATCTTGAGACCCACCCAAATCAATTTTGCCAAATAGAATCTGTTTGATTGATGTCAGATGATCAAGGGAAGAAAGTGGGTCGAGCTTTTGCAGGATCAAACCTCCACAAGGGACAAAATGAGGGGATAAAAGAATCGGTTCAACAATCTAAAGAATCAATCCTCCAAAATGGGGGAAAAAAAATGAAGGATTTTTTTTTCCCCCTTTTTGAGGACTCGAAATCCCCAATAGTTCCTCCAAAACAAGAGTCAGCTCTCAACATTAAAAGAACCGCGCACTAACCGGAGAACGCAATTCTGTCATCTCTGGCTCGTTAAAGCTTCAAACTGGATCAAGATTTGTAGTCATGATCTCTGTCGTCTCTGTTGCGCAAATATTTGTAGTATACGTACTGTAATATTATCTGTGGTTACGTCCATTAAGGCGAAGCATCCAAATGATTGATACTAGGGAAAGAGGACTAGAAGTAAAAAGGATTTTTTAAAAAAAAAAAAAGAAAAAGAAAAAAGAAAAGGGGGTCGGAAATGCAAAAATATTTGAGATAAGGATACAAATAAGTCCAGCAACACACAGGCGACGGCATCTAGCAACCACGGCATGTTGGCCTTAATTTTGTCCCACTCCGTGTTTCTCACCAGAATACTGCATCCATTAATTAGTAAGCAAATCCGACCAATGATTAAAAGTCCTTGTGTTTATTATTATCAGTAGTATTTTTCGTTTGTAAACGGTGCAGATTTGCTCATTAACAATTATTTACACACTTTACTGGCGGCATATGCATACCTGCCCACATAAGCGGCATTTGCAATCAGCGCAAAGATAAACATCAAAGGATTTAGGCCCTGTAAAGTTTGAAAAGAAGACACCCTAATGAGTGGTCCATGATTGAGGGAAGCTATTGGAAAAAAGTGTAAAGACTTGAAAATGGGAGTCAGAAAAGGTTTTTAGTGCCATACCTCCACGCTTCCTCTTTTGATCTGATAAAGCAGAACAAAGGAAGAAAAAAAAAAAACCAATAATCAGAAGAAAACCGTCATGGAATGGAAGGCGCGAGAACTCATTTTAAACCTGATAGTAATCATCTGGGCAGCAGAGAAGAACTTACGTTTAACCATATTTGAGGAAGCCGACCGCCCATGTATATGGCAGCCATCATCCATCCCAACCATTGCCCAACTGCATTACTTCCCATTCCGTGCTCCTGTTGTTGCCATACATAAGTTTATCAACTCTTCTTATCACGAAACGAAACAACTCCAAGCAAGGAGGAGGAGTTGAAATTTCAGCTAAGAAAAAATCATGGAGTGTACTTGTAATAGTTTCCTCCCACTGAATCCAATGGATGCTTGCATCATAGCCTTGGTTTGTGGAGGCATGCTCATCGACGTCGCTACAAAAGCACCATAACCAGCCTGCGAATAAGTCATGTTTTGCAGTCAAACAAATTTGGCGTTATAGGATGTCATTCCGCACTAACAATGAATGAAGAGAGCATTCCACAAAGAGTGCGTGCTTACGGATCGGGGGAGGATGGGTCTGCTCGTAGTGGGAGAAGCCTCATCCTCTGACGAAGAGCCATCCTCCAGGCCGATAGCTGAAGGACCACTTCTCACTGGCCATATCGACGAACGAATGGGAGGAGTGGCGCTGCCGGCCAAAGATCTGGCTGACCTGCAGAACCTCCGTCGAATACGTATAAGTGCACAATTGCATCTACCATTTTTTTTTTTAAAATATATATAAAAAATATTATATAGAGTTAATTTGTTTTCATCACAGAAGCTAAGCTAGCTATCAATTACTACTGCTGGGTATCATGCAAACCTTATCAAAAGGATAAAGAAATAAATAAATCAAACGCATTCAGAAGAAGACAAATACGCACGTGTAGTAGTAATCTCTACGCTGAGGAGTTTTGGTAGCGGCGGTAGGTATCGGAATTCCTGAATCGGTCGACCTCTGTCTCTGCTTATGCGGCCTCAGAGGCTTTTTCAAGTCTTCATGACTCTGATACACCACCATGAGAAATACTAAGCATTAATGCAGTAAATCATATATCACGGTGTAGTATTGGAAAAAAAAAAAAAAGAAGAAAGAAGAAGAAGCAAGTGTAATTATGCAGCACAAGCTGGTGCAGTAGCTCAGAAGTACTGTTCCATTAGGAGAGAAAAAAAACCAACTGGATATAAGGTACCTCTTGTCTAGAGGTACTGTTCCTTCGAGATTTCCACCACCCGTATATGTGATCATAGTACAAGCTCTGCAATACTAATAGCACAGTAGTCGTCGAATACAGCTGCCCCCAGCAATTTTGACGACCAAAAAAAAAGAGTATCTAATCAGTTCAACTTCAAGATGGTTGTGAGTTGTGACGGCACACACATATAATAACCAATCTGTACATTTAACACTTACCAGAGCCGTGTAAAATTGTGTTGGCAACTGCGCCATCAAGAAAATGAACGGTCAGTGAGGGAGAGAGACAACAGGTACGATTTTCAACAAATGCTGATCTTTGCTGTATAAGAACCGCACCCCAGTTTTCTTTCTTCTCGGTCTTTGTTTTTATATTTTTTTTATCATTATAAAAAATTATACTACATGGAGTGATAATAAATAGTCCTAAAAGCAAGGGCAAACAGGAGCCTTACCGTTGCAGGTTCGAGAAGGCATCCGAATAGATTAAATATGTCACTGCATCAAGAAAAAAATAACAGAATGGTTATACAGGCATCGATTTTAACGATTCAGATCGCCGTCTTTTAAGTGAAAATCTCCACCAATACGTGAAGAAGCTCGATCGTGTCTGATTCAAAACGGAAGACAATAATACATACCCGGCAACCCATGTGAAAAGAAACAAGGGAGAAATGCCATGGCTGGACTTGGTGCGGAAGTTGGTGACGATTTGAGGGATTTCGGCCACTCCCCAACAGACGAGGCTAACAAGACCCAAAGCGAAAGACAAATCATCTCTGAAGTTGCATAGGCAATCCTTGAAGTACCTGTTAACCCATCCAACGCATGGTTTTTGCTCTTTTACACAGTAAGAGATTGATTTCTGCACTAAACCCTTCATGCTTTTCTCCTATATCTCGTTAGTGTTTGTTGTCGAGTGATATGATGAGAACGGCATGGCATGTAGCAGCAGGCAGGACTAAATAAGGACTCCCATCTCGTTCACCTTAAATCGCAGGGCAAATGCTGCTGAGACATCAGTATCTCTGTTTTGACCCTTCTACCCTTCTGGCCCCTCCAAACTCCTCCTCCCTCTTTTTAACCTAATAATAACTATGCATGGCATCATATCAAATATACCTTTTTATTTTGCGTCAGTTAGTCCGTCAAATTCCAAAAGTGATTTATTATTCCAAAAGTGAGGATACGTTGGAGAAGAATATGAATGTTGAATCAGTCATCGAAGATCTTGTAGTCTCTCTTTTTTTGGAAAATTCAAGAATTGGAAAGCCATAAAGTGCGAATGATTCTTTCAATTTACATATTCATATTTCAACATACGAGAATCATCTCATTAACTTCAGCTTTAGATGTTCAAGAGTTTTAGAAATTCATCAGCCTACGATCAGCATCTTCAAACAGCAGGGAAGAGCACAAAAATACAAGGAAAAAAGAAGGGGGGAAAAAATCGCCTACTTTTTTAGTTGAGGAATTGGCGCCTCCAAGTTCGAATCAACCGGGAAGAATCAAGCCAAAAACCCACTACTATCTCCTTGGTGGGGCGTGTCTATATATCTCGTAGGGACCACGAGCAGGAGCCGCTCGTAACGTTTTTGTGCATTTTACACACCGCGTAATTTTATTTGTACACGACGTAATTTTATTTATATAACGTGTAATTTTAAAACAAATTTTTGTAAATCTCACACACGTTATTAAAAATGAGATATAAAAAGTGATTTGGACTATACAATTTTTTTGATCAAATCTTGACCGTGAACGGTTCAAGAGCGATGTATCTGATAACCGCTCCCGGCCCCTCGTCCATCTCTTAGATTTGATAGATCATGTGGCTGTACTATTTTTTGGACTAAATGTATGTTTTCTTACGCAGAATGTTTGCCCTATCACTGCTAATTACCGGGTCCTGCTCCTGACATTCCCATCCATTAAACATAACGAAGAAACAAAACTGGAGAAAGCATCATTTGACAGAGTTGAGTATGTAGTATGGACAGAAACAGCTAAACAAGACAGGCCACGTTCAAGAATATTAGGCAAATCAGTAGAGGGGGAAAACATCCTGGGTTATGCATCAAGTTGTTGGAATTTGACCCGGACAGTCATCCGCATTCAATCCCAGGGGGAGCTTACTACATTTGCACAATCCTCGTACAATATTCTAGTCCCATCGAGCATGTCCCTAGTGTTTTTTTTTTTTTTTTTTTTGGATAGAAATGAGTTTTCATTAACAGCGAGGAAAAGAATAGAAAGGTTCTACTTTTCAAAAAAAAAAAAAAAAAGAATAGAAAGGTTCTAGAGGACACTTTCCACTTCTCTTCTTGTTGTCACGGACTCACAGTTTTATAGACGGCTACGTGCTATACATTTGTCGTTTCTAAGCAGCGACGGTGCGCTGCAAGCTGGAGGAGAATGCGGTACACGTGTACTCATTTGTAAACACTTGTCAGCAAAACAAAGGAAGATTATCCTGAGAACTCAGAAGCCGTCGAAACTCGTCCATGTTCTCCATTCCCGTGCTTTTAGTTTTAGTCGGGCACGCCATTGGCCATCATTCCATTCAGTGGTTCTCGAAGCTGCCCGCCGCACCTCTTTTCCAGCGCTTTCTATTGTCGCTTTTTGCAGCTTCCTACCTGCCTCTCAACGCCAGTTGGTTCTATTACCACAAACCAATGCCCTGCACAAGTTGGATTTTCAAACATGTTTTAATGTTTATGCCATTTCAGGTTACCCTTCTCACTTCTCGCCCATCATATCGGCCTCCCCAAATGCATTAATGCCAGTTCTAGGGACTACTAAGCAAGTCAGCATGTTCAATGGAAATGAAGTACGCTATTTAAAAGTACCCATCTATTCAATTACCTGCAGCTGCATGGTTGGATGGTAGTAAAGTTTTAAGTAAGCAACTAAAACTATATTATGCGGGTCAACCATAAATGGGCTCCAACCTAGCCTTAATTTAGCGATGAAAATTAGTGAAATTTCTTGCATCAAACTCGTGTGATACATGATCATGAACTAATCAAAACATTGTTGAAATTGGATCAAGCTCTGTCAGCGGCAAGCAAGAGAAGTTTTTGTTCTTCTCATACAATGGCATGGAATACTCTTGTTAAAAGCAGCTCCAGTTGCATCGGCAACAAATGCTTCTGGTATTCTAGGCGCAGAAATTGCATAAATCCATTTTGCAAGTTAGCAGTACAGAACTTGTATGAATATTACCTGGCCTCTGCCAAATCTATTCAGCTATTAACAACAGAATCTCATGGACTTGGCGGATTGTGGACAAATGGACTCTCAACATGTCGAATTATGTCCTGCAATCCTGACCTATAAGTAGGATGGAGCAGCTTCACTCCCAGCTCTTCCTTCATACGGCTATTCGAGACTCGCTTCTCCTCGCTGTAGCCTCCCTCTGGGATGAGGGAGTCTGTTATTAGTGGATTGATGAGTGGTTGTCCATGGTCTGGCCACTTGCTCTTCACCAAATTCTGTGCAAATGTAAAGACTTCCACCCGTGGGGCAGGGTCATCATCAACAATGTTGTATATTTTCCTGACAGGGAACCATACGGAAATGACAAAAGGAAAATAAAAGAAAGAACAATTAATACAACGTTTCAGAGGTCATTTAAACAAAGAACTATAATGCATTATAAGCATGTTCGTCCATCTTAGAACAGCAGCACCGAGCCACTCAGATGCATTCACACATTAAATGTCCCAGTGATATTCCCCAGTATGCACATCAATTGTTCGCATATAGGCTTTTTTTACTCCAACATGCTTGAAGCCTTGAACCGACACTGAAACCATTTCTATTGCATCACAAACGCATTGTGCTCGAAACGCAAAACATTTCAAACTAGAAATCAAGAATTTTGAGAAAAGGATTCACCCTGCATTAAACAGGTAGCTGAACCAATACAAAGCTTCAGGGCACCAATGGTCATACAATAGAAGAAATCAAATCATCCCTAATTCGCACTTTAAAAATAAAATAAGGAAATAACAAATTCGCGGTTCTATATATTCATTCTCTCTTTCATAATATAAAACCTCATGGTCTGGGCCATGCAGGCAAAAAGATCTATGAAATTCAGTTTACCCTCCAGATGGTTTCTCTATGCTGGCATTGAGTGCTTGGCAGATGTCAGCAACATGGATCCTGGACGTGTAACGCCTCGATGATCGCATTCTCTGACTTGTGGACAGTGGCTCCTGCTTAATTATGGTATCAATGGCACTGTGTAGCAAAAACATTAACAGAAAATCAAGCTGACGCAAATAAGCTTGCAACAAATGAAGGCATTATAAGATGGCAGACTTATGGAGATTGACAGATAACAATGTGGCAATTATATTTAGGAAATCGATCAGACACTATAACCTTCTGCCAGGGCCATAGATACCTCCGAGTCGAAATATTTGTACTGCCACGTCCAGATCACGACCAAACCTTAACCATCCTTCCTCAGCAGCTAATCTAGCTCTAGCCAACTCATTAGTGGGAATGATAGGATGACTGGCAGGGAAAAATGCATTGCTTGTGAGCCTGCCAGCTATTCAAATATCATTCAATACTGTTAAAAACAAAGTCGTTGGTCAATGCAAACTTACTCTTCATCCACCCATGCACCACAACTATCTCCATATACACCTGCATGTCAAATCCCAGAATTTCAGATATCAGTCAGACACAGAATTGACCCCAAAAGTTGTAAGGGCAGTCATGTTCATGTATGCTAGGTCATCACATACGTGCAAACAGATAGCATTTTATGATAAGAGAACTTACGAGTTGATGACAAGTAACTAAGCCACCTAAGATTGCCTTGTTTTAGTTTACTTTTCAATAGCCCTTTATGATGAAGCATCTGCAATAACGGTAAGACAATTAATGGAGGCAGAGACACAAGTAAAACAAAATGTTTTCAGAAGCATTATTCCTTTGACTGTCCAATTTAGCATATACTCACAGGATCACCAAGACCCGCAACAGGAGGAATTGATATAACGAGATGACTGTGATGTTGTATCACATCAAGGACTTCCGGACTGTAAATGCAGCAAAGAAGAAACAACTCTTCAAGTTTTTTTTTTTTTTTTTGCCTTAAGCAAGGGGTGTTCAGATAATGTAAAAGGATTGTTTACAAGATTAACGTTTAATTGTGAAAAATAAACAAATTCTTTTAGGAAACATGATAAAGTTAAATTCCAGGTAGTTTCAAATTTTAACTAACAAATACTTGACAAGACCCAGGAAACAATAAATAACAGGAACAGCATAGTACATCAGCATTGTTCCTGAGCATATCAATTAACATGTCCGTACAGGCTTCAATGTCTAAAGCAGTCATTTGGGATAAATTTCAAGGAGATTCATAAAAGGTAATACAAATCCAATAGAAAGTTACTTACTACTACTACTACTACTACTACTACTAACTTACTCAGGGTCATTTGCGTCAAAGATGTAGGCATCAAATCCCATTTGTTCGAGTTTCGTTTTCTTAGGAATGCTGGTACAGGTCCCACTCACCACCCTGCGTACAGTTATATACTAGCAGAAATGAAATGAAAAACTTCAAATAAAATGCCCCACAAACAGGAAGCTTTGGTTCCAAATTTACAAGTGATTTTACCATCCTTTGTTCTTCAAATCAGCAGCAAAGAATTGTCCCACGAAACCCATGCCCAGAATAAACATCTGCAGATTCTGGGAATTTGGTATCAGACTTCCGGAGTTATCCTGCAGATTGCATCTCAGACGGAGGTAAGACGAAGCCGTCGGAGTTGAGATCGCGTGAGCAAAGCTGGGGGAAATTGCCGGCGACCGCGCCAGGGCCATGGGGGCCTATTTCCCTGGGTTCTTACTAGTGCACTCGACGTTGAAGTTGAAAGGGCCTCAGCAGCTGGAAGTTCTGTCTTTAAACTCTGTGAGCCTGTTACATATTGGGCTTCGTCAACTTTATTGGACTGCAACACCCTTTAAACTTGAGCAGGCCCACCATTATTATCCCGCTGAAAAATACACATGTATTTATCTTCACACAAGCCCTTTATTTATTATTGAGGTAAATGATCCGTAATTGCAAGTGCAAATTTCATTTGGGAAAAAAAAAAAAAAGCTTATGTTTAAGTAATTTGACAGGTTGGGGTGGGAAGAATTGGTAGTGTATGTCAGTATGCCTTTTGGGTTGGGTTATGGGTTTCTCTTAGGTAGTATGTGTTGTGTTATTTATGATTGTTGGTGGAGTGGGAAGAATTGGTGATTCGAGTCAAGGAAAATCGATCAGCTTGTTGGCTAGCAGAACAAGTTTGTCTCGTTGTTAAGCAAAATATTAGTAAACAAATCGCCACATGATCGATTTGTTATTGCACCAGCGTTTTAATCCAGAATGAATATAGATAACAATTGCGCCACCACCACAATAATAAAGAGAAATGCAATTGCATTGCATCATCGACTTTGGATTGGCGTGCTGCTGATGTCAATCAATTGGCAATTGGCAATTGGCAATTGTCAATTGTCAATTGGCATGGTCGGTTCCTTCCGCCCAACCAATCCATGTCACGGGTGAGATGACAAATTCCGAAAAAACGCACACACAAACGTGAAACACTGCGTTCTTTAATTATTTGTTAGTCTTATTATTATTAGTATTATTAGTTTTGGCATGTTTTTTTATTTTTATTTTTATGGTGAGTGCATTCTTCACGGAAGCTGCTAACCAGGACCGTGCCAGGCAAAGTTACATTGGCCTTTAATTTAATGAGAGCTCCCCAAAGCCACAAAGCCCATGTAATGTAAGTGCTGTTAGTTTGGTTGCAAATTGTTTTTTCTCGCTTTGGCTGACCAGAAGTAAATGTAATCCAACCGCGCTCGTCTACCACCGGTCGGAAGCAATTTCAGGCTTTTTGAGATGGGACATGATTTGATTTGTATGGGGGAGACAAATTAATACCTATCGTCTACGACGAGATTGTGAATTAGGGTGCTGCCTCGATCGAACACATTTATCTGTTAATTTTGGATACTTAATCCAACGTTTGACTTATACGTGAATAATTATGTGTTTCATGCTGTCAAATAAGGTTAAATCCAATAAAAGTGATTAATTATGATTTGAGTTTTAATGTATCTAATAGGATATTTGTCTTCAATTTGTGTGTGGAGACTTAAAGGGTAATCTCTATTTTTATGATGGGTTGAAACAGGAATCCATAACAGTACCACAATATAATTTTTTCCTGATATTCCATCCTTAGAAAAGAAATCATAAAGAAATTAAATGACTCTCAAGTGAATAGCAAATACATGTTGATTTGAAAGACCACTCCAAAATTTTTAGGGATTCGAGTATTAGTTTGTCAATATGAATCCAGGTACGCTTCCTCAATTTGCTGTTAATTTACTTCTTAATAATCGCCGTAACGATTTGGTATTTAATTGCTGATGATTTTCACCAAAAGTCAATATAAACTACCACCCAACATTAACATCACGGTCGTCCGTCTCTTTTCTTTCCTTCTTTTTTGGTTTGCGTTTTTTGGGGGTTAGAAAAATTCAGCCACTATACTTTTCAAGAGATGAACACGAACGTCAAATTAACGAATGCAGCCAAGCTGTCTGCATGTGTACGTCTTATGCCCAATATGAAATTAGAAACGGAGAAACTAATTTTTGAAGTGGTAGTAGTATTAAAGCTTCCCGTTTAGATTAGTCAGGGGGCAAATCTCATAGATACCCATGAAAATGAATGCTTTTATTCCACGCCTCTGTACGTTGGCTGGGGGCAAGCATAATACTATGCCAACAACTAAAAGTTTTAGCGTCAATTCTTTCGGGCCCGGAGGAAGCTGCCATGCAGTTTCCTCCCACCAAAACTTCACGTAATCAAGCACTGATGACTAAACTAACTCCCCTTTGCAGTTCAAGCTCAACACCACCTCTCTTCTTCTAACTTCCCCCGGACATGTATCAAACAAGCTACTAGTTTATTCTTTTGCTCTGCCCTTCCCCAGCAAAAATTAAAAAAATTCGCACTCTTGCAAACCACTATATAACGTGTAACGAGTAATTCGTCTCCTTCAGACCTTTTTTCCGTTATCAATTATCAATCCGTCCCCCTAATAAAATTTCAGCATCAAAATCAATATGGAACCCGAAAGAGTTCCCAAATCTTTTGGTTGTCTTCCGCACCGAAATCTCAAGTTGAGCTTAAGCCGGTCCAGATCCAAGTCTGCCTCCAGCTCGACCTCCAGTCCAAGAACTCCCAAATCACCCTCCGTCACCCCACGCAAAAGCACCAGTTCCAGTACGAAGTCCAAGGAAGACGAGTATAGAGAAGTTTTTCGCCGTTTCGACAACGACAACGATGGAAGAATCTCAGCAGTGGAGTTGAGGGCTTATTTTGGTTCGGTGGGAGAGTACATGTCCCACGAGGATGCTGAAGCCGTGATCCGTGATGCGGACACCGATGGAGACAGCCTCATCGACTTTCAAGATTTTCTGACGTTGATGAAGAAGGAAGGTTCAGAGGATGAGGACTTGAAGGCGGCCTTCGAAATGTTTGAATTCCAGAAAGGGTCTGGGAGGATAACGCCCAAGAGCTTGCAGAAAGTATTGAGTCGCTTAGGGGATGCCAAATCCTACGACGAGTGTGTTGAAATGATCGAAGTTCATGACACTGATGGCAAGGGGGAACTCCATTTTCACGAGTTCCAGCAAATGATGATGGCTTAACTTCAATCATCTTTGATCTTTTTGGCTTCAAGCCCCCCCCCACCCCCCCACCCCCAGTTCTTTATTCTCCACAAAACATGCATGGTTCAGGGACGGGATGTCCTGAATCGCGATCTAAGAAATAAAACAATGAACGCCCCACCAAAAAAAAAAAAAATCGAATCATGTGCAAAACACGAATCTAGCTAGCTAGAAACTCGAACAAAACTCCAAATGTAATAATGTGATTGCTGTTTTAGTGCTGATTGCACTTTTTAAGTTTGTCGGGTCATGCTAAATATATATACTCCTGTTGTTGCGTTGATAAAGAGGTTTGGTCGAATCTGGATTTTCCCGTATTCTTGTTTTACATATGTTGGCTAAGTTTCATCGAGCAATGCAATTTACGAAATTAATTCGCCCAAGAGCAAGAGCTGCGAACCTACGTTTACTTCTTCTGGGAATGTAATTAACGCAGATTAATAGCATCAATTCCAGACAGGCTTCGACAGTAACTAATTGTACTAACTTTTTGTTCTCCATTTCTTCGATTCTTAATCATCACCAAGGCATATCTACAAGACAGTTTAGTATTCTCTCATTCCCCCCATACCTTCGTTCTTGCTTTTATGATCATCAACCGTGTAGAATCACTCTTAACTCTTTTGCTCCATGTTTTAATTTGTGACTAATCAAAGCCCATGGCTTTCTTTCTTTTATCGTGGTTCATTCGCTTGATTGATTAATTAATTGTGAGTTTGTTAATTGTGAGTAATATTTCCCCCCCTCACCCTAATGCTGGTGTTTTATACGAATGGGACCTTAATAAATAGTTTGGGCTTGATTTATTAAGACTTTATTGTGTTCGCGTGTACTCAAATTTGGATAAAAATGAAGATTCAATTAAACTAGGGAATTAGATTTGAACTTGTAACAATGCGGTTCGTCAAGGTTGGAATACTCTTTTATGTTTTTTTTATATATGTACTAATAGTTGAGAAATTAGATATTATTATTTATTGTATAAAATTTAGGGATAATTTTAAGAAACCACCCCTGAGGTTTCTCATAAATTTACTTAGCTCCCCTAAGGTTACAAAAATTACATCCACCTCCCTTACCCATTTAAAATGACAATAGTAACATTTATATTTTAATAAAACTCCCTTGCTACCATGTGTTATACAAAAGATGGATTTTATATATTTTTTTTCTTTTTATTCATTTCTCTTATAGAAGTATAGAAGAACCATTAATGTTGTCGCTAATATCTATCCAGATCAAATGTTAAACTAATAATATTTTTTAATAACTTTCAATATCATCCAATTTTTTTGTAACTTTTTTTTGGTATCAAGATCAAGAATAAATATTTAAAAATTAATTAAAAACAAATGACCCAAACTCACTGCCAAACTATAGTAATTCCATCAGTAAACTAGTTCATAAACTTTAAGAAAAATGAGATAACACTTTCTTCTGTATCTTAGAAAGAATCAATATCCCCAATAAAGCATTATGAAAAGTAGCAAAAGATTAATTGTTATAGTTGATTATCAAATAATAGATATTGGCATGGAAAACTTAACACTCTTTATGTGTGTGTGTGTCAAATTACTTTTATAAATTTTTAGAAAAACAAATTAAAATTTATAACATAAGGGTATTTTAGAATATTCATTAAAAATTTGACCCCATTTTAAGATTTGGTTACCAAAATATCAAATCAAGAGAGGTAAATGTAAATTTTAAAATATCAAGAGAGCTAAGTGAAATAGTTAGAAACCTCGAGAGAGGTTTCTAAAATTACCCCTAAAATTTATATGTATTATTAAAAACAAACATTATAAACATTAAAACAATAAAAAAAAAACTTATGAACTTTCAAATCTAGGTCAAACGTATTAGAGATAAAATCAAATCAATCTGGATCTTAAATTTTAAACTTGTATAGTATTCAAATACAAATTCAAAGTTGAGTGAAATTTTTGTGTTTGGATAGCAAATTAGTTACACAAATTTATTTACTTTCATTATACATATATTTTTTCAATTTCATTTTTATCACTTTTTTTTTTCAAAAAAATTGCCCCAAATAATCTGTCATCCAAACACGCTTGAATCAAATCAATCGATAACTTAAAAAAGAAAGATAGATCCTCAATTCATCTACAGTCCTACTCCTGGTTTCTCGGTCTCATTGTGGGAATGCAGAATTACAGAGCGGATCCTCAATTCTATCGGAAGACGCTACTATGATTTTCGCCGGGCCTTTGAACTCGAACGTGTTATTCCGCTTTGGACTTTGGAGGCGGAAAGTTGGCGGCCGGGAGCGGCGGGGGTCTGTGATAACTGGATACGGGGCAGGAGCGGTCGTCAGGCCGACCGCTCCTGAACGGTCTCCTCACAATAAAAAATGTGAGGAGACAAATGAGCCAAGTCAGCAAGTCTTCAGCAGGGCAAGGAACGACGCCGTTTCAAATAAAAAAATATTGACTTCCAAACGGGAGCAGACGGAGCAAACGGAAGATTCGTGATTTTGAAATTCAAGTTAAAATTTTGAACTAGCCGCAGAAAACAAAACTTCAGCGGAGAGTCTTGGCGTGCTTGTGAAGGTAATCTACTCTGACCGACCGCTCACTAAAGGTAGAAAGCTGAAGTTCGGCTGGGCTTCAACCTACTGGGTGTTTCTAGGTGAAGTGGGTGAAGTCTACTCTGATGAAAGTAGTAATTGACAGAAAAGTGGGTGGAGAGGCAGGCGGCAAGGGAGAATAAAACAGAGACGAAATCAGAGTTTGTCCGTAAAACTGAATAGCAGAAGTAGCTATGGTCTTCAACTGGGTATGAGAGTGTTGTATCCATTTTGAATGCAATCAAGGCAGGCGGTAAGGTAAAAGCAAACAGAGAAAATTGAGCATTTCATGAAGCCAGATTTTGTCCTTCAACTTAATAACAGAAGCAGCTACGCTCTCCGACTTCGGTGAAACGTAAAGCGTATTAGCAGACCAAGGTAACGTGAGTGAACCATGCTAGTAACTGTGGCCAATAATTTGTCACCCAAATGCACATCTGTTAAATGAATGATGAAATTAGAGTCATTGAAGACATAATATGAAGATGATAGAAAAATAGTGAAATTGTACTATATTTGTGTGTGTGTATCGTATCGTATCTGTGTGTGTGTGTGAGCATTCAACTTTTCAGTGATGGACTATATTGGGATAGTAGTTATTGGAAGACCTTTCAAGTAAACTGTCGAACGGAATTAGGGAAAGATGAGAGAAACAAAGTCACATTTAACAAGTGAATTAATGTACATCCTGTTGTAAATTAGTTACATGTTATAGCTACCGTATTACAATTGATATATATCATTGTGCATGTAGTAGTTGGTTCATGATCATGGGGCAATATTAGTTTGCCCCTCTCGTGACCATGCAGTGTGTATAAAATGGAGGCGTAGAGTTGAATGAGGTGAAGTAGAGGAAAAGACATATATGTGAATAATAAATGGGTGAACCTTGTGTTGTAAGTAAATTACATGATGTAAGAAATATATTATAATGAGTAGAAAGTGCTTGTTTGGCTCTCAAAATGTAGAAATAATAGAAAATGCGGAGTTGGCTTATGCGGTTGACAGTAATGAATGACATAAGGTCCAGTGTGCTAAAGAACCTAGAATTAAAATATAATCACTAGCGTGGATGTACATTCAGTTAAAATAAACTTACATCATGTGACCAATACATTACAGTCTGTATAACTTGGTGTACATGGAGTTGTATTTGTACATAGATAATGCCGTTGTCTTAGAGTAAAAGTAAGGTGATGTGAATCATTAATCATATTGATAAGCGTAATAATAGAATTTGGTATACGAGTAATGTGTGATTTATAACACATTATGAATGGTAATATACATTTATGTTGTCATTTATGTACATACTATTCATGAAGTGTTGCAAATTAGGGTGTTTGATGCATAATTAGCAGGAGCAGAATAATGGATTGCAGTAAATTGGCAGAAGATCGGACCCCTAAGTTAGGAATGGAATTCAACAATGAAGAGGATGCGTACACATTTTACAACAAATATGCCTTTAAAATGGGATTTAGTGTACTATCTAAATAAAGATAAAGATGGTGTGACCATGTTTAGGAGATATAGTTGCTACAAGGAAGGTGTAAAACGCAAGTACGAAGGTGATGTAATGCCAAAGAGGACACGATCACCGACGAAAACGGGGTGTGGAGCTAAAATGATTATCGTGTTACTTAGAGGGACAATGAAATACCGTGTGCATGACCTTGTTTTAGAACATAACCATGAGTTGCACATTACTCAATGTTCGCACATGATACCATCACAAAGAAAAGTGAGTGAGGCTTAAGGATTTCAAGCTGAAATAAGCGAGGATGCTGGGCTTTCATTGAAACAGAGCCATGAGCTTATGGGAAAGGAGGCAGGTGGCTTGGGAAATGTGGGATATACTCGGGAAGATCTAAAACGATATCTTCGTACTCGACGGGAAAGGAGTTTGAAATACGGAGAAGCAGGTAGCATGCTGAATTATTTTCAAGAGCAAACACTCAAGAATCCATCTTTTTTTCATGCCGTACAGCTGGATTGTGAAGAGCAGATAACGAATATTTTTTGGGCTGATGCAGGAATATTAATTGACTACAACTTTTTTTGGAGATATAGTCACATTCGACACAACCTACAAAACAAATAAAGAATACCGGCCTTTTGGAGTGTTTGTGGGTTTTAACCAACATAGGCAATTTGTGATATTCGGTGCTGCCCTTATGTATGATGAGACTATAGATTCTTTCAAATGGGTGTTTGGTACATTTCTAGAAGCAATGTACGAAAAGCGTCCAAGTACCATACTAACCGACCAAGATCACGCCATGGCAGCCGTTCTTTCAGTTGTCATGCCTGAAACATTTCACGATCTATGTACGTTTCACATAAGATGTAATTTTATGAAACATCTTGACAATCACTACAAGGAAAATAGTGACCTTCCATACATGTTTGGTGCCTGCATGTATGACATTGAAGAAGTGAAACAATTCAACAAGTTGTGGGAGGCGATGGTGAAGAAGCACAATCTTGAAAATAATGAATGGCTTTCCGGGCTGTATCGAATTCGTGATAAATGGGCAAGGTGCATGATGAAAGAAAGATGGACCGCGGGAATGCGAAGCACCCAACTTAGTGAAAGTCTAAATGCAGCAATAAAAAATTATTTGAAACTGGATCACGACCTTGTGCAGTTCTTTAGACATTTCAATCTGGTGGTTAATGATAAGAGACATAATGAACTCATTGCAGAATATGAAATGAGGCAAAAGCTTCCCATGGTAGGGTTGAGGCAAACACTTATGCTTGTGCATGCAGCAGAGACGTATTCACCAACCGTATTTGTTGCATTCCAAAATGAATATGGTGAGTCAACATCTATGGTTATATTGAGACAACAAGATCCAAGGATGTTTGTGGAGTTTGCGGTAATGAGGTATGATGGAGGACCTGAAAGAATAGTGGTATTCAATCGGACTGATCTAAGTGTACGCAGTAGTTGCAAAAAATACGAGAATGAAGAAATTTTATGTGGGCATGCGTTGAAAGTGTTTGATACCGTGGGCATAAAGACAATTCCTCCGGAATACGTTAAGAGGCGATGGACAAAAAGACCTCGAGCTGGGGACTGTTTTGGCAACTGCGCCATCAAGAAAATGAACGGTCAGTGAGGGAGAGAGACAACAGGTACGATTTTCAACAAATGCTGATCTTTGCTGTATAAGAACCGCACCCCAGTTTTCTTTCTTCTCGGTCTTTGTTTTTATATTTTTTTTATCATTATAAAAAATTATACTACATGGAGTGATAATAAATAGTCCTAAAAGCAAGGGCAAACAGGAGCCTTACCGTTGCAGGTTCGAGAAGGCATCCGAATAGATTAAATATGTCACTGCATCAAGAAAAAAATAACAGAATGGTTATACAGGCATCGATTTTAACGATTCAGATCGCCGTCTTTTAAGTGAAAATCTCCACCAATACGTGAAGAAGCTCGATCGTGTCTGATTCAAAACGGAAGACAATAATACATACCCGGCAACCCATGTGAAAAGAAACAAGGGAGAAATGCCATGGCTGGACTTTGGCGGAAGTTGGTGACGATTGAGGGAATGTAGAAGGCTACTCAGTCCAAATCTTAGCACAACTAGGTCGAAAATGCAGAATACCACAACCTGAACCGTAATTGCAGGTTTACAAATCACACAAAACTGTAATTAGTACAACTCGGTCAATACAGGTCCAAATGCATTAATTCCAAAGGCATATGGTAGCTAAGACATTCAGCTACATTTCATCAGAAGACACCAACAACAAAATCCAAACCAATTCCAGTCAAAATGGCCAATTACTAGTGCAGTTTTCGCATTCTGATCAACCCAGAACAGCAACAGTAAAAACGCCATTTCTCACTCTACACTAATCCAAATAACCTGAAATTTTACAGACACCTCAAACACATCAATACCTACAACTTTCATGTTTTAGGCCAAGGCCAATTCGACCTCTATCTAGGAGCAAAAAAAACGGGCAGAATGTTCCAACCAAAAACCCTAACTTGCTGAAATTCTTCCAAACCAGAAATTGATTGCAATTGTTCACCTTTCCCACCTCCTATAGTCATTATACATCATTTTCAACCATCATACATGACCACATAATCATATTCATATGAAAACAGAAAAATCCCCAAAAAATATAAAACTTCATCAACTCAACCACAAATCAAGAATTAATCCATAAATTTGCATCTTATGCTACCACTAAGCATGATTTAAGCATCAATTAAAGGAGGAGGGTGGTTCTTCACCACTTACCTTAAGAACAAGAGAGAGAGAGCTATTGGTCACCTTACTTTCCACAAAAATTCACACAACAACTCACAACCACTACTTGAAGGTGTTTTATGGAGAAAAATCAAGGTTGGATGGTTGGTTTTGCTGATTTGGAGCAAGATTGAAGTGTTTTCTTCCTTGTACTTGGAGTAAGAGAGAGAGAAAGAGAGAGAGAGAGAGCCGGCTGTTCTTGAGGATTTTTTGAAGATTTTTGGGTCATTTTTGGTTATTTAAGTCAATGGTAAGAAAGTCTTAAGGTTCAACCACTTATATGGTGACACTTGTCACCTCATTTAATGCAAGTCTATCACTTTGTTTCCTCTCACATCAATCCAAATTACAACATCTACTTATCTCTTAGCACCCGATAAATTAAATCCAGTATCCAAAACTTAACCTAGTTGGCCGAATTTTTCCGAACTTTTCGCACTAGTGGGTCCCACGTCCGGTATACGTTCTTAATTTCTCAAAATCTATTCGATACTAGAAAAATCATCTAAAAACTATATTTACTCACAAAAATTATCTAGAAAATTTTCCGGATACAGAAAGTGCAGAAAACAAGCCATAGAAAACAAGAAAGCCTAGAAAAATAATAAAACCTAACAAATGGAAAAGTTACGGGTTCTCACACACGCCACCAGCAGAGGCGGATCTTCATCAAGAAAGCCTGAGTACTGTAAGTAGTTCCTTCCCTTTAGATCCCAGTATCTCTTTGAATAATGTTTAGTGATTTTGCTTATGGAAAGATCACTGCTTTGATTGTCTATTCTGCCGCCCCTTTTGTTTTATGATCACCAAGAGTTTATTTCTTATATGTGGGTAAAAGGTCCAGTCTTGTGGCTGTGGATGATGTCTATATGATAAAGAAAAGAACCAATGCTTGATGTTTACATGATAGAGGAGTCAGCGTCCAGTGTTTGCCATTTTGTTTCCAATGTTACTTGGTCCCTCTCTGTTTCATGTTGACTGGTTTGAAGTTTATGTTTTTTTTGGGTATTCGGCTGGGATGGTATGCCGTAGGCATGTTGCCGCAAGCCGCGAGTTTCCTCGTGCCCCCCTGCTGCATTTTTTTTTTTTTACATTCAGTTGCATCTGGGAGCTATTGATGTCTATGGTATCTTTTTGATGCATGTAATCTCTGGTGTTTCGTGCTGTTTTGGGTCATCTTTACTGTTTTAGTCTTGCTCATATCATGCTTATCATCGGATGTTGTTAACAATGGAAATTTGGATATTCTGGTTTGAATAATGAGGAGCTGCTGCATTTTCTTTATTATCTCGTTGCCTTGGCTGAATTTCTTGGAATAGTTTGGGGGGGGAAGATAGCCATGCTTGACTAATGATAGACTGATGTTTGGAGTTATGTATGAGCTTGGTAGATAAATGGTGGGTCTAACATCATGTTTTCAGCATTTAATCCACGCAAGCCTGAAGCTGCAAAAATCTGCAGCAAAGTAAAAAGGCTGTCGCGTTTCCTGCGCTGTTTTCTTCCTTTTTCCGTGGCTGTTTATCGACCCTTACACTTAAGTGGCATGCTAATCTGGTTTAAAGGGAAAGAAAAGGAAGGTTTTGGTGATGAATCTGTAAGTTTGGGGATTTACAATGCCTGAACTACTGATCAAACACTTTGCTACAAAATAAATTTCTGGTTGCCGAAGGCTTGCTGCAATCTTGCTCTAGCATTTGTGTGATTCTCCTTCTATGTTTTGATTTGTTGGGATGTTGGAATTGTATGTCATAGAGCTGCATTTCTCCCTTCTCACTATCCCAAGTCCACACGAGCCCACATTAGTTCATTCTCCTTTCCCATCGCACGATCACTTTTGGGCTAACTGAAAATTGCAGCAGGTTGTTGCAGCAATTTCGTCCATAGACCTGCATGAAATTTTAAGAGCTTGCATTGTTTCTATGTTTGTTGATTGTTTGGGTTGCAGTATTGTCGTGGCTTCTGCATTAATCTAAAGCTCTTGATGCCTGGTGAGAAAAATCCTGATTCATCCTTGATGACCGAAAGCTTCCTAGCTTGCAGAAAACCTCGCTGCATCTTTTCCTTTTTCCTTCTTTTGCTGTTCAATCTGTATCCTTGATGGTTAGCTTCAATTCATGTTTTAATCTTGCAATGAAGTTGCATGATTAGTCAATGATTGTTAGTGAGAATCTGGGCATTTGGTGAGCATGTTCGCATGACAAGCTGGAAAGGAATTCACGGCAGAAATGTTGCAGGAAGAGAACCCTTCTTTTACGTATGCATGCATGAAAAACCAAAGGAAATTGTCCTTTAACCCCTCAAGTTTCCCTTTATGACACTATGACCCAGAAAATTGAGAAAATTAATCAATTTGGTCCCTATGATTTTGCAGCAATGTCACAAGGACCCAATTACATTCCAATCTCTTGCAATTGAATCCTAAGTTGATTGTAATTTGACTCGTTATTTGGCTTTTTGGACCTTTGAAGTTTTTAAGCATTGCATTTTGACTTGAATGATTGGTTAAAGGTCGTTTTGAGCTCCCATTAGTTGCTATATTTGGGAATTTTGATGAGTTATTCCATTTTTCCTTGGTCATTATGCATTTCTTTAATTAATTGCAATTGAACAAGGATTCGATGTTGGTGGAATCAAGTTGGTTTATATATGTTTTACCACTAAATTGGTGCATTAATCCTTTGCTTTGATGGTTTTAGCCTAAGTTATCCCTTTTTTGGTGACCCTAGTCCAAATTGAGTCCTTTTACTCTATCAACGTCATGAAGGGGGCGGTATAATTTCTTTTATCCCTTTTCGTCTCTCCTACGTGATCCAACGTGCTAAATGTGAATTGCATGCCTACTTTACTTGCTTTCCTTGCTTTTTTTTCATTTCATTTACATTTGCTTTTATTAAGTCATTCTTTTATTTATGGGGTATGTGTACACCTCTTGGCTTGTAATAGATAGGGCTTGGAGGTGCATTTGACGAAGACCTACTGAAAACGTGTGCCTAGCTAGCAAATGTAATAGATCCATTAGTTCGATTACTTGCTTTTGGTTGCTATGTGTTAATTTGCTTTATTAGGCTCTTGCATCTAGTCGAGCATGCTAAGTGTTATGTGCTACGTGTTTACGAGTGTTTGGCATGTCTACTCGCTTTCCATAGCCATGAATGAATGTGATGGATGAATGTACGTTTCCACTAGTCCAACGCTAGTAGGAATTCATAGAATGGGCTAGTCCAACGCTAGACCCTTAGGATTTTCTTTCGTGAGTCCATACTTGCATGTTTAACTTCATTTCATGCATTTTTTCTTAGTTTTTTTAGCATTTGGTATGTTCCTCCGATCCTTTCCCTTTCATTTTAGGTTTTTGCATCTCATGCTAGTTATAGTGACATTTGCTTGACGAGTCCCCTTTCGATAAGGGAAACGAGCGAGTGTGGCTCCAAAAATAGCCTTAGCACGCTAGTTCTCCTTTCTAATCAAAGGGAAAATTAAAGTCACAAAGTTAGGAGTCCCCGTACCCGACTTGATGCATTCCTCTAGGTTCATACATTCTCATACCATTTCCTCACCTTTTTATCCACATTTTTTCACTCCTTATACCTTTTTCAAATTCAAATGACATGTCTCACACATTGCACTTATTTACTACTATCATACCCTATTTTCATCTATTTGCATACAAACACTCTTACTTTCCCACTTGGCACACGTACACTTTCCTTACATGTGCACACGTGCACTTTTATCACCTTAGCACACTTGCACTTACTTTCTTTATTGGCATTTTTGCATCCCTCACACATTTTCACATTATTACTTTACTCACCTTATCTTGTACACCCATTTGCACACTTCCACTTATACACTCTTGTTTTTATCACTTTTTCACTTCACACAAACTCACATTTTCACATGGCATGCATTCATTTCACTCATTTTTTACGTCATTTAGGATTATGTGTGACATCTCCAAAGGGTCATTATTGGGCTTCACAATTAATGTGATTGGCACCACTCAACCTTTGAAGAGAAATTTTCCCCATGTCCCCTAGGTCTAGGTTTTTGCATTCATGTAGTACATCCAAAATGTAATAAATTCTTTGGTTAAAACAAGAAAATCTTTGATTAAATCACGCAACTAGTCTTGGCTAGGTCGAAGGGGTGCCTTGGATTTTTATCCTTGCCTTCCTCTTCGTCAAATGTGACTCCCGAACCTTTTTCGTTGGTTTACGTAGACTAGGAGTCGTTTAAAAGGGGTTTCTTGCTACTTTTTCCTATTTTTTCTTTAAAAATTCATTTTTAGGTGACTTGGTACACCTTAACTCATTACCAAGTGGCGACTCCAATTTTTTATTTCAAAAACCCTTTTTAAACTATAATTTTGGGTCAAATCGTCGCATTCTCAAACCCCCATTTAGACCCATTTTTCTTTTAAATCACAATTCATTTTCCAATCCCAAATTGAATAAAAAAAATACATTTTTAAACCTATTTATTTATTTATTCAAAAAATGGGGCGCGACACCGATTTTAAATTTCCTGTTCGAGTCAGTCCCGTTTTAAATTTCCCGTCTCGAGTCAGTCCCGATTTTAAATTTTCTGTTCGGGTCAGTCCCGTTTTGAATTTTCTGTTTCGGGTCAGTTCCGATTTTAGATTTCCTTTTCGGGTTAGTCCCGATTTTAACTTTCCTGTCCCGGGTTAGTCCCGATTTTAAATTTGCTTGTTCGGGTCAGTTCCATTTAAATTTCTTGTCTGGGTCAGTCCCATTTTAAAATTTTTTTTAAAGGGGGTAGTTCTCATTTCAAAAACGTCAGTCGCTCGTGTAGTTTGCAGCCGAATAACACAGGTGAGGATTTAGTGTCTATTTTTTTGTCTCAAGTTTTTCCAAAACTCAGACAAAAAAGGGCAAATTGTAGACACCAAATTTTTAGGGTATTTTTGTTTACTATTATTTTTATTTTTCTATGTTAGTTTTATTTACTTTTAGTTTTTTTATTTTTATTTTTTAAGTCATTTTAGCATAGAATTTATCCAAAAAAAAAATCATTCACAAAAAATATGCTTTATTTCTTTTAGATTTGAGTTTATTATTATTTACTCAAAAAAAAAATCTTAGCTTTGTTGTCTTTTATTCCTAGTTTCGTTCATTTTTATCCGATTGTATTTAAATTGTTGTTTTTCTTTACTTAATATTATTTTTTTAAAAAAAAGCCGCCGCACATGCAGCAGCATGAAAAATAATATCATTTTCACAGGAGATTTTTCTGATTCTTTCTTGGCTCTCAATGGATCGGATGGCTGAAGTTTTTGGTAGAAATCAACCCTTCATTGTGACAGCCCCACCTCCCCCTAAGGCGAACCAAAGGGTTCGGCGGACCGCCTGCCCAACTCTCGCCGGGACTCAGTCGTTCACTCAAACAAATCAGAAATAAAACCTCAAGAAAGAGCAAACTAGGATCCAATTCATTACAGTCCTCAATCAAAACCAGAATTCAACCACAGAAATACATAGTACACGAATCCAAAACTTAAAGCGGAACTTATATACATTCCTATCTCAAAGGAATTACAAAATCAAAGGTACAAAAGTTCTCGAGTCATCATACATCCGACCCTTGCCAAAAGCTAGGGCGAGAACCATAACAAAAGAAAATCAAGAGTTAGACCCAGCTAGTCTATACAGGCTCTCGTCCTTGCACGCCTTCCCCTGTTAAGGAAAACAAAACTAAAGGGATGAGTTGGAAAGCTCAGTGAGGTTCCGAACACATAGGCACACAAGAAGTTCATTGCATTCATTACACGTAACCAATAATTCAAGATACAGAGATAAGATAAAGCGATAAACACATTCATTAAAAGGATACGTGCTCACAAGGAGCCATTCGTTCATTCGTTCGTTCATTCATTCTCCTTTCGTTTCCTTATACCTTCAATCATTTGAAAATGCATTTTATATAAGTAAAACCCTCATTCATTCATTCGTTCATTCATTCATTCTCCCCCTTCCCTGACCGTTGGCCAGGCTCCACCAGACTTCAAGGTAATACTCGAGTATACCGAAACGTTCACACAGGTCCCTAATCGCCCGACCGAGTCCGCTTCTGGCTCGAGACGACCGGTAACAAGGGGCAGTGGCCAGTTCAGCCAAAAGGCTTACATTCATGCACAAATAACATTTCAATCGTTCAATCATTGAAAACTTCACAATCATTTAGGCCAAGTGCGATAAAGTACACACTTGCCTAGAAAACTCATTTTAACAATCATTGAAAGCATTTAACATGTTATCAATCATTCATACCAGCCATGTAATCATGTAACATAACAAACAAGGAACACTCACCAGACAAGCAAGTGAAATTTCATAAACTTTCGCCCAAAGAGCGTCTTTAATCACCGTCAAGCCCTAAAATATTCAAACAAGCACAATAAGACTCGATTACATATCATAACCAATTCCACATACCACCAAAAGAAGGTTCCACAAGAAGATATAAACTGTGAGAACCCGTAAAAACCCTAATTATTTTCCTAGGGTTTCTTCTCCCCTTAATTGCATGTTTTCTGCATTTTCTGGCTTAGAAATATTTTCTTAGTGGATTTTATGAGCAATTATAGTTTTAAGATGATTTTTCTAGCATTGGAGAAATTTTAGAAAATTAAGAGTAAATAGTGGACGTGGGACCCACTAGTGTGAAAAGTTCGGAAAAATTCGGCCAATAAGGTTAAGTTTCGGATACTGTGTAAAATTTATCGGGTGTTAAGAGATAAGTAGTGTGTGTGAAGTGATTGATGTGAGAGAGAAAAGAAAGATAAGAATGCATTTAATGAGGTGACAAGTGTCACTTTCTCATTGGTTGGACTTTAAGAATTACTATTCACTTTCTTGACTTTTTT